TTGAATCGATGAGGTCAGCAATTAGAAATTAATCACAAGAGTAAATTTTCATCTGGTTTAAAGGATAAATGGAATGGGTGAATTTATTTCTTTGAGATTTCAATTTGTTGATGGATAAGTGAATTGGACTGTTAGGTGGAAAACAAGAATAATAATAAAAATAATGATAATTAGAAAGGAATTTACGCGAGCATTTTCTTTTTTTAAAGTTAAGGTTCAGGAACCTTCATTAACTTCTATTTTACTCTATGTAACAATCAAAATTCACAACGAAATAGTCTTCTTTATTCTTCATTTTGCAAGGCTTCAGATTGATAGAATATTTTAAGGTCATCAATGATGATTTGGAGGGATTCTCCGTTCAACACGTTAACCAGATCATATAATGTTAAGTTGGTTCGATGGTCTGTGACACGATTCTGCGGATTTGATTTGTAATTAGAAATTAACGAAATGTTTATTATAGATAGATGTATGGATATGTATGTGCACATGTAAATATACCTGAGCATAATTGTAAGTTCTAATCTTTTCCGACCTGTCGCCGGTCCCTATCTTAGGGAGGAAAAAAAAAAAATAGATAATAATAAAATGTGAATAAATCCATTACTGATTTTATTTATTCTTTCTAGAACTCAAAAGTTATACTTACTTGTTGCCTGCGCACCTTACTCCTTTCTTGTTGATGTTTTGTTCGTTCCAGGTCAAATAACCTTGCACTTAGGATCTGGAGGGCCTTCGCCTTGTTCTAATTTTTTTTTTTTAAAAAAATAATGCTTTTTATTTATAATAAAATAAAAAAAATAACAATAATCTCCAAATGTTCTCGAACCCTTGGCTGAGATCGTTCGTCTTGTATTGCGACCACGCATCCGGTTGGGATGTGCGTTATGCGGACGGCACTGGATGTGGTGTTTACGTGTTGACCACCTTTACCACTGGACCGATAGTAATCAATTCTCAGGTCTGTTTCGCGAAGATTAATGTCCGTCTGAAGTTGGTCACATACTATTAGAATGCGCGTTAGAAACTTGGTCGCACAATTCTCTCGATGAAGAATGTACCTCCGTAGGCTGAGGTAAGATCGCTATGGTGACCGTGCTGGTGTGAACGCGACCCGCTTTTTCCGTAGCGGGAACTCTTTGAACACGGTGAGTACCAGATTCATATCTCATATTGCCGAAAACTCCTTTTCCAGAAATGGAAATCGTGACTTCCTGTACGAACACAAATTTACTTACTACACGTTCACGCCCGCTTGATATTGAAAAAATCACGAAACCTTTATGGAACCCAAGGAATCTTCTAGCACAGTCAAATTTTCAAATTTCCATCGACGTAAGAAGGCATAACGCTCATACATATTCAACATGTCGGCGGCGAACAAGCCGGCTTCTTCACCGCCGGTACCTAAATTGATTTTAATAAATATCAACAATCGTCGTGTGCTTAAATGCATTGTTTATTGATTCTAACCAGCACGGATCTCAAGTATGGCATTTCCTTCGTCGGCAATATCCTTGGGCAAAAGAGATGTCACGACTGATTGCTCTAAATGTTTCATTCTTTCGATGATTTCCAGGTATTCTTCTTGCGCAAGCTTCCTGAGGTCTTCGTCGGTACTTTCCTTGATGATCGTGTTTATTTCCTCAAGTTCCTTTGTAAAGGAAATTTAGATAGCGTTTAGCGCATAAATTACTTCAAAATTCAAAGACGCAAGATCTCTACACCTTGTGACTTCTTGATTTTTTGGTATGGAACAATTATGGATGCAAGGTCCGAAAATTCTTTAGAATTACGAGCGAAATCTGGATCGACATTCTGCTCCTTTGAGAAAAAAAATTCTCCTATTATTAATTTAAAAAAAGTGATTGTTGAAAAATGACGAGCGTGAAGTTGATATCTCCACTAAACTTGAATATTTAGCTCCTGGGATAGAGCATCGTAACGAATCTTCAATTTTTCCAATCTTTTCAAAACCTTATCATTTAACAAGGAACCTTTAAATATAGTTTTCTGCTTAATGGGCGCTATTTGACAAAAAAAAATCATTGATGATTAATCGAATTAAAGAGGAAATGAGATAATTCCAAAAGAATTACCCGTCGAAAAAATGAATCTCGGCATTGAAGAGTGCTTTGGATAGGGATTGTTCGGATATCTATGTAGGGAAAATGGCACGATGAAGGAAATTCTCATGATCCGAGATGAAATTGGACAAAATCTAAACTTTTGAAGCGGCAATAATGTAAAATTCATAATTAATGCAAAAGCATCGACGATTCCAAAAAATTTTTGTTAATGATTATCAGTTTAATATAATTGGCGGAGTTTATCATTTTTTTTCCGCAAATCCTCTTACTATATATGTCAACAAATAAATACAATATGATCGTAACTGCATGCCGTTTAAATACAGTAAATATAATTATTACTATTAATTTATATAAAATAAATATAAGATATTTTAATAATTTAATAATTTAAACAAAATATTAATTTTTAAATAATTCTTTCATTTTTAAACAAGTATATAATATGTCAATTATTTATATTTGAATATTTGAAAATTCCATATCAAAATTATTTAATTAATTTTTATTAATGAATTTTATTAAATCAAATTTATTGAAATTAAATTATCACAAATAAAATATAATCATCAAATTTTAGTTGTTTCATATTATGTTATGGTCATAATTTTAATTTTTTTATAATTTTTATATTTAAAATATTTTTAATAAAATAATTAAAAAACTATATATTATATAAAAATACATAATTAAAATTGTTTTTTTTTATTAAAATTTTAATAAATTATTATTTTATTTAACAAAAACTTTAAATAGATTATTTTTAATTTAAATTAAAAATTAAAAAAATGATTTTATTATAAAGTATTTATAAAATTATAAAATTATTATATATTTTAAGATATTTTTTTAATAATTTTATTTATTTATTTATTTATTAATAAACTACAATTAATTATATATATATATATATAATATATAAATATACAGTGTGAGTCATAAATTTTTGGAATTGGTTTTTTTAATATAATTTTTTTAATAACTATTTAA